AACTTTCTATTCATCAAAGAATCCTGAAAAATACAATGCATCACGTTTTTAACACATTTTGGAAAATTCAGCTTTGCATCACAGAAATAAATTACATTTAAAATATATTGCAATATTAAAATGTATTTTATATTTAAATGTTATATTTAAAATAGTATTTATATTTTTTATTTTATTATTTATATATATTTATGATTGAAAATGGTTGCCAAGTATGCAAATCAATTAAAAATAGTTCAGATGAGCTCTTATTTACATGTCAGTTACTCAAATAGAGTTTCCCTACATGTGGAAAGGGGATGTTTTCAAATTTAGACATGTCCTTTCACATAATGAAGCACCTTTGTTGTGTGGATTTAAAAACAAGCAGGTTGTTCAATAATAATTGGATTTTGCTTTGAAGCTAATGTGCGGTTTGTTGACATAGCTGCAATACTTCTAATTTCCCCCCATTATATTCATTCTTTGGGAAAGTCTTGTGCTCAAGCAAGGGTTGTAAGTGAAGGTGACCTGTTGTACGGGAAGCATGGGAACGGTTCCTCGAGGAAAGATAGAGACTGAGGGAGATATGGTGAGATGAAGAGCATGGTTGCCTGGATACTGCTGGATGCTGAGCCGCGGTACAACGGCCCACTTCAAGCTCATTGTGTACACAGCTGAGGAGAGAAGAACAGTTGTGTGAAATTGGTTGCGTCAATTGAATCAAGTGATGATGCTATTCTGGGCCTTCTTCCATATCTCTGCTTCCACTTGGATGAAAATAGAACATAAAAAAAGTGTTTGCATAACTTAAGCCATGGACTTCACAGCCATAAATAACACAAAATGTGCCTTTCTTTGTTTGCTGGGATACATATTGTAACAACTGTGAGCTTTTCTTTCTTGGTTGAAGTCTTTGATATGTATTAGCCGTCTGTAATTAGTTCCCGTATTATTTGGCTTAATATGATTACACAATAATTGTAGCGCTGTAATAAATAGTGCTTTGTATATAAGTATGTGCTAAAGGGAAAACAAAAACAAGCTTTAATTACATTACGTGTTTGTTTTTAGCAGAAACTATATCTATTTCACTCTCAACTATACTAAGAAACTCAACATGAAATAAAGATGTATTTACTTTATGAAGTGCATTATATAGATAGATAGATAGATAGATAGATATAGCACTGAACTTGCATAATGTTTGAAGGAAATCATTTGGCTATTATCTGATTGTTGGGTCACAATTTATTTTAAGGTCCAGTTTTTCCCATTAACGAACCATTAATTACGACATTTGCCTCAATAAACTCCCAATTTGCTGCTTATTAATAGTTAGTAAGGTAGTTGTTAAGTTTAGGTACTGGGTAGGATTAGGGATGTTCGCCCCACCTGCCCATGTAGACGAGCCGTGCCTGTAAGTAACTGTAATTTAATTACACATTTTTTCTTAGTAACTAACTGATTACAGTTACATTTATTTTCTAATTAAATTACGTAACGCCGTTACATTTAACTAGTTACCCCCCAACACTGATAATAGGCATGCTAATAAGCAACTAGTCAGTGGTGAGAAGTCTTACTGATTGTTAAATAAATAATGGACAGATTAATCAGTTATCAAGACTGTTTGCCCTAATAGCAGTTTCTAGGGCAGACAGCCAAGAATAAACCATCAAAATACCAAGAAGAAACATATACTACTAAAATATTGAGATAAATGCTAGTGAAAGCTAAATGGAACAGGCTGGAAAAGTGCAACACACTCCAGTGATGCCTCATATATATTCAGAGATGTTATGAGATGAGTCAAGCATCATATCCCACTCAGCCTGGGAATAGTAGGCGACAGTATGAGAATATATGGACATTGCGAATGTTGTAATCTCTGTACACATTGTCATACTTGCTGTATGAATCGCACACAGTGGATACAGCAGTGATTACTAAACTTCAAAGCTATTCTAGATGTGGGCTGAATGTAGAGTTGGCCGTGTAAACGAACTCCTCTGATGTTTTACAGGAGCTGACGTGAGGAAGCACAGCGACCGGTCGGGGGGATGACGGTGCCCTCGGCCCATGAGTTTCACTGGCAGAGCCTGGCATGTCTTTCCAGCGCCCGCGTCTATCACTCATTGGCTGATGTTGGGGGGCAGCTGTATATGGTAGGGGGTTGCGATGCTTCGGGTCGACCCACCAGCGCTCTCGAGCTCTACTCCCCTGAGGTGGACCGGAGCCTGGCATGTCTTTCCAGCGCCCGCGTCTATCACTCATTGGCTGATGTTGGGGGGCAGCTGTATATGGTAGGGGGTTGCGATGCTTCGGGTCGACCCACCAGCGCTCTCGAGCTCTACTGCCCTGAGGTGGACCGCTGGCTCAGTCTCCCTCCGATGCCCACGCCGAGAGCCGGGGCGGCGGTGGCTGTCTTAGGTAAGCAGCTGCTGGTGGTCGGGGGAATGGGGAAGGACCAGCGCCCCCTGAAGGCCGTGGAGGTGTATAACACAGAAGAAGGCAAATGGAGGAAGAGGTGCTCGCTCAGAGAGGCGTCCATGGGGCTTTCTGTCACTGTTAAAGGTAGAAAAACCTTATTTTATAATCAACATGGAGTGGTGTTCACTACAAATATAGTCAGTTATTCAATGAAAAAAATGCAAGGACGTTGATTTTATTCATGTAAATTGAATTATGTTTATTTAATTAATATCTTACATTCATTTTATCGATATAATATATTAATAATATATTAATGGATAGTGAAAAATGTCTCTATAATACAATTTGAAGAGAAACGACAAAAACAATTAAAATTCTGATGAAATGTTGTGAAGATAAATATAAATATTAAAAGAATACATATGGAATTCTGTGTATACACTACCAGTCAAAAGTTTGGAATAATTAAGCTTTTTCTTTTTGAAGAAGAATAAATGCTCATCATGGCTGCAATTATTTGATTTAAAATACAGTTTAAAAAAAACAGTAATATTGTGAAATATTATTACAATTAAAAATAACAGTTTTATCATTTAAATTGAACTTTTTTCAAAAACATTGCAACTTAAATCTATGTGTGTGCGTGTGTGTGTGTGTGTGTATGAACTGTATGTATAAATGTATATTTTATACACTGAAAAAGGTGTAGGATTTTCTTAAACAATTTTCACTCAGAAATTGCTAGTAAACTTAACAAACATTTAGAAAAGAAACAACAATTAACATTGAATTATACAATAATATTTGTTTTATTTATGACTGAACTATTTTTGAAACTTTTTGAACTGTTTTTGAAAGAAGTACAATGTAAAATAAGTATTAAAATTATTATTAAAGTATTAAAATAGAAAATAGATTATTGTATAATTCAGTGTTACTCGTCTCTTTTCTAACTATTTGTAAAGTTTCCTAGGAATGTTTGAGTGAAAGATGTTTCAAAGAAAATCCTACACCTTTTTCAATGTATAAAATATACATTTTTTCTTTGCAATAATATGTACTGATGAATTATGCAAAATAAAAAAGAATGTGTATTAAAGAATGAAATAAATGGTTTTATTTCATGTTGACTTTAAACAAGAAAAACATGTCAGTCACTTTAAATAGTCACCTCTTTTTAGTGGCAGTTCTGTCAGCACATGACATTTAAAGCATTTATTCATTGTTTACTTGACATTGTACTTGACATTGTAAGGTGAGAGAGACTGTTTTGTTCAAGAGTTCTTTGTTGTAAATAAAGACCTTCATTTGACTCGCTTCACCTCTGTTCAGACGGCAGAGCTCTTGCTGTTGGGGGAATGGGAGCAGACCTCCTGCCTAGAAGTGTTCTACAGCAGTACGACCTTCGCAAGGACGTGTGGGCGCTCCTTCCGCCCATGCCCACCCTGCGCTACGATACCAGCGTCTGCCTACTGGACTCCAAGATCTACGTGGCAGGTTTGCTGAGCAGAGAGAGTCCTTGTGTATCTGCAATCTACCCTTGTGCATTAAATACTGTATGTGTGTGTGTATGTGTGTGTGTGTGTTCCTGACCTCGCTGTAGTTTTGGGGACAACACTGCTGAAAATGTCTCCTGCAGTTTGCTAAATCTGAAAAATAAATTAATAAGAGGGTTTCTGCAGGTCTTAGAAACTCTTTTACAAATGAAGGCCTTAAAAAGATCTCAAAATATTGTTCATTTTAAATTCATGAAGTCATAGCATAACATTTTGCATATACTGCAAAAAATGAACAGTATTTTTGTCTTGTTTTCCAAATATCTACATCCTCAAGATACATTTACTTGAGAAAATGAAGATATTAGGTCATTTTCTGAGAAGCTGAACAAAACTAAGTGGGTTTATACTTAAAACAAGAACAAATATCCATCACTTGAGTAGGAAAACTTGTTTTCCTTTGAATTTTTCTGAGCCCCCTGGCAGATATTTGTTCTTGTTTTAATAAGTTTCTCTGAAAACAAGACTTCTTATCTTACGTCATTTTGCTTATCAAGTAAATATATCTTTATTTAAAAGTCTTTAGGCATTTGCAATGGAAAATAACAAAAATACTAAGGAAAAGCATCATTTTTTGTTTGCAGTGTGATCAGAGTGTACAGTAAAAGATATTTCAATATTCTAGCAGTTTTTGTACTTTGAATTTTTCTGAGCCCCCTGGCAGATATTTGTTCTTGTTTTAATAAGTTTCTCTGAAAACAAGACTTCTTATCTTACGTCATTTTGCTTATCAAGTAAATATATCTTTATTTAAAAGTCTTTAGGCATTTGCAATGGAAAATAACAAAAATACTAAGGAAAAGCATCATTTTTTGTTTGCAGTGTGATCAGAGTGTACAGTAAAAGATATTTCAATATTCTAGCAGTTTATATTTTTAGTTTAAGTGTTTTTTTAAATATTTTTTGGCAAAACTGTTTTTAATACAACTCGTTGTTTACTCCCTAGGCATTTGTATTTAGAGAACATAATGATATAATTTGTTACCTTCAATTTTTCCTTCACTTGGTCTTAAAATGGTCTTTAAAAAGTTTTAAATGTAACTTTATAAAACATGCAAAAAACCTGAAATAAAACTCCAAACGATAAACAAAAAGATAATTGGCTTATAAAATTTGTGTTTCTAAATATGCCAGATACTTGGTGCTTCACCATGCAAAAATTACCATTCACCATCAATATCTGTGTTCCTTCAGGAGGACGTCAGTGTAAGCGTTTGGTGAAGGCGTTTGAGGTCTTTGACATGGAAAGCCGTACCTGGTCCTCTCTACCCAGCCTGCCTTGTAAGAGATCTTATTCTGGGGTCTTATGGGACAGCGCCGGGCGTCTCTGCTGGTTGGGAGGGCTCAGACAAGGAGGAATACACCAAAGTTCAAAGTTTACCAAGAATGTTAACATCTTTGACACCAACCAAGGTAAATTAGCTAGACAGGTCAGAAAGTATGTCTCTCATATTTACATCCAAATGACCATTAATTCAGATAGAACAGAGCCCAAACTTCAAAATGAAGCTATAAAATGCTTAAAGGGTTAGTTCACCCACAAGTGAAAATTACCCCATGATTTACACACCTTCAAGCTATCCTACGTGTATGACTTTATTCTTTCAGACGAATACAATCAGAGTTATATTAAAAAACGTCCAAGCTTTATAATGGCAGTGAATGGGGGTCGAGATTTTGGAGGCCCAAAAAGTGCATCCATCCATCAAAAAAGTGCTCCACACAGCTCCAGGGGGTTGATAAAGACCTTCTGAAGTGAAGCGATGCGTTTGTGTAAAAAAACTTTATAAACCGTAATCTCTAGCTTTTGCTAACTGTGACGCATTCACCAGCGAGTGCATGGCAATCATGGAGTATCATCGTCAAATCATGGAGTAGTTGTCATTTTTGGGTGAACTATCCCTTTAAATTGTCTGTATTCAGTCAGTTTTGGGATTATTAAGATTTTATTTTAAGAAATTAATCCATTTTATTTATATTTCAAATAAATGCTGAAAGAAACCTGCAAAAATATGCTTAGTGTTGAAACTCTGTGAATACTGTAACCTGTGAATATAGGCACCAAATTAAATCAGCTCTGCTTGTGCATGTGGCATAGGCCTTAGTTGTAATCTGTGAAATCTCCAAGAAAAATAGTTTTAGCTGTTGAATGCATATCAGCAAAAATGTTTCAACGCACAAATATATTAGTAATCTCGATAACTGTTCCCTTCTTATTAGATTTTGTTTTCTCGGATTAACCCAAAAAAAGGGGGTGGAAAGATACAAGGTGTGACAAAACGTAAGTCCTGCTGAAATGAGTTATTGATTTCTCTCCAGCTTCTCACACTTTTTCTTCCTCTACATCGTTTCCGCTCAAATTTGATCTTTTCTAATCAGATTCAGCAGATGGGAAAATTTGACTTTGCCCCAAGGGCGATAAAAAAAGTTCCTATCATAAATGGGCAGCGAGGAGGTCATCTTGAACAACTGAACTTTGCACGCTGCCGTGTGAATCATTTCTCTCTTTTTTAATTATTCCATTACTGGCACATGTGTCAGCCAACAGGTGCGTGAGCCGCCGTTCACAGAGCAGCAGGAGGGATTAAGCCTCGCTATCTAATTTCCTTCTGCCCAGATCCGCCACTGGCAATAAAGCCCTCGCGTACAAGTCTCCCAGTCTAATATAACTAGGCGATAAGATCATGGGATAGGAAGGGGGCGTTAAATGATGCTATTCAGAAACACATTGTCATCCCTTATCCAGAGCTCATCCTGATAGATAGTTGAGCCCATCTGCTCTTTTGTCTTAACACTGGCTGCCGTGGCGAGGGTTATATCCCGAGAAAATCCCAGTTCTAGGCAAGATGGATGTGCTCTTTATTAAACATCCAACTTGACACTGTATACTTGGTAACTGGGCAGCGGTAGACCCAGAACAGCATGTTTTTATAACTTTATGCCAAATGAACAGGCACCAGGACGGACCCCACCACCTGTTTGAAGGGAATATGAGTTTGCATCTGAATAAAAAGCATGCTTGGCATCAGAAAAAGTGAAAGGGCATCACTGTTCAACAGAAAAAGCGTCAGATTTTCGGCCAACAACACAGCGAGCGTTGCACGCCAAGGGCTGAAATCAATATCCTGTCCAAAGCTGACAGACCCTTCATTGCTCATTAGATACTTTGATCCTGATCCAAATTGCCAAATTTGCAGCAAAACATCAATAAATGATTTAACTAAAATCAACTGAGAAAAACAAACTCGGCGAGCATCCTTGTTGTCCACTGACTACATAGGCCACTACCTTTAAAGCAGCTTCCTGGATAAATATTGCATAAGGTCTTTAAATACCATGAAGCCAACATTGCAGCTAATTTGGGGGCGAGAAGCACCCACTTATATCAGAAAAGAACATCTGACTGACATGTAAAGCAGACAACCACAGTTTGTCGACCTTTTTACATTACGTAACTTTTGTTGTTGTTGTTTTTTTTATACAGCAATGTCAGCATGATGCTAAATGAATGATGTTAGAACTATTGGGTAGAAAGTCATTACGGGGTCAGTTTTAATTAGGATGATCTTTTTTTAAATAAATAAAAATATAAATGTACACACACACACACACACACACAAACACACACATACATACATACATACATACATACACATATATATCAGAGAGGCTGTGCCTCCTCAAAATATTGGATAAGAAAAAAAATCACAGTACAAAAATAAAGCAACACCAATATTACAAAATATAATAATAAAAAATATATAAATCACTAGTTTTTCTAAAGAAACATTGTCCAACAGTGACACCAGCAGGTAAAGTTATAGTGGCGAATAGGCGTCTGTCGTGCCTCCCCTGAGTCCATGGACCCTTTTCACAAGACTGTGATGACGCATTTCATCGGTCATCAGCATTGTAAATCCTCCAAAGTTTTTTTATATTTTGATTTTTTTTTTATGTATATACATTCCTAACACTATACTTTGTATTATATCACCTCTGCATCAAATTACAAAAAGAAAAACTAGTTAAAGCTAATGCAAGGGTGTTTCTAATGCAGCGTCTATGGGAGGGATGGTAAATTTGACATTGTTCTCTCGTCTGACTGTCGTTATCAGTCTCAAGTTTTTTCCTTTTTTTTGAAAGTCATTAAAACACTATCATGGAATTTTTCTTTTGATATTTGAGCAAATGGGAATGCAAAAAATATATTTATAATATACAATATAAAATATATTTATAATAAATATACTCCGCTTCGTCCACGGTTAAAAGCCGATCCGGCGATCCACAGCGCAATTAATGGTCATCAGCATCGTAAATCCTCAAAAGTTTTTCATATTTGTATTTTTTTTTAATGTATGTACATTAATAACACTATTCTTTATTATATCACCTTTGCATCAAATTACAAAAAAAATAGTTAAAGCTAATGCAAGGGTGTTTCTAATGCAGCGTCTATGGGAGGGATGGTAAATTTGACATTGTTCTCTCGTCTGACTGTCGTTATCAGTCTCAAGTTTTTTCCTTTTTTTTGAAAGTCATTAAAACACTATCATGGAATTTTTCTTTTGATATTTGAGCAAATGGGAATGCAAAAAATATATTTGTGGTACTCTCCCATTCACTGCTGTTTACCCAACTATGATGACTTCCGCTTCTGAGAAACCCGAAAATGTGAAAAAGGTCTATTGAGTTTTAAAAGACCACCTAAAGCATGCCGTGAGTTTGCTGGGGGGTAATTGAGAATGAATGTTGGAAAGTCACATGAGAGGAGGCAATGCCTCATCGCAAAATGACTGGTTATCGTCAGCTGTGATTGGTTCATGCGATAAATTGTGAATCAGTCTGAATGAACAATATAATGGCTTTAATGGGAAGACTAAAGTAAACAGAAGTACTTTAGAAGTGTGTGAGTAGAAGTAAACAACTCACACACTTAGATATAACCATTTTGTTACGTCAAGACTTGTAATGACTTGAAATGGCCTGAAAACATGATCCGTGGGGGATTTTAGTGAGTAATTAGCTTGGTGAAATTGAAGGTAAATCTACGTGTGTCTGTGACCAATATTTACCGAGCTTTGATGACTGCCCTAGTGAAAAATTAATATACTAAAATGTATTTGAAATACATTTATTTCATGCTAAGTAGTACTCCAAATAAAGTTAAATTATAATTTTTATATCAGTAAGTTTCGAGCGATATGTCAGTAAATACTATATATATATATACACACACATACTGTATGTATGTGAGTATGTGCGTGTGTTACTATCAGAAAGTATTGATAATCAATTAATTAATCATTGAAAAAGAATGCTATTTCTCTCCACTCAACCACCATATTTTTTCAATCACTTGTTGCGGTGCATTTTAGGGTTGCCTGATTTGTGAAAATTGCCTGCAATGAAAAAAAAATTGTGTGTTGCTCTTGCATTTTGAATTGGTTTTGATCAGTTATATATACATAAGTGCTGTGGGCATCTGCATATATGTCTTTGCAATCAAAAGCTCATCACATGTTTTTCAACAGTATGTAAACAAGCATGGCAGAAGGAGTTGGCATCTCTCAAACAACCATCATTATTCTAATGCCGTTTGTGTGTTATTGGCTGTGATTGTGCTTTTTGGCTGATTAGGTTGACAGAGAAATGTAAATAATGTGCCAAATTAACGTTCTACATCTGTGAAACACAGAAAGCTGCACAGCTCCAACTTCCTTTTCAAAGCAATTAAAGTGTTCTAGCTCGGTAATTTTTTGAAGAAATGGTCCTTGCATTTATTACGGCAAGCCATTGGCTTAGTTATTAGACAGATATTAGATCCTGCAAATGGAAAACAGTCTGTCAGCTTTAATCGACAAGCTTGCAGGCTCTAATCTGCAGGAAAGCCCTTTATTTCCATTTCCTCTTTAGACATTTTAGAAAAAGCTGTCAAATGAAACAGTTTCAAATCACATATAAGCCAGTTAAATTTTCTTTCACTCATTGTATAAATCTGATTTATTGTGTCAGAGTTTAAATCACACCGTGTTAATGGTGAATAGTGTGTAATTTATTCCAAGTTAAAATACTCTCTTGCATCCCATTTTAATGTACAAACTATACGTAAGCCATTGCTAAAATGACATCTTGTAAATTGCTTCTAGTGGTGCAGAAATTACTCACTTCACCTTTAATATTTAGCATTTTATTATTGTTATTTGTGTCCGTTTTGATTTGTAGGAACTTGGTTGAAATCAGAGGACACCGTACCCTTGAAAACCAAGCGAGCAGACTTTGCCGCAGCCATAGTGCGAGACAGAATGATCGTGGCAGGAGGCCTAGGTATGGAAGTTGCATCATAATATATTTAATATAATATATATCTACTGCACAGTTGCGGTCACGGTTAGTGTCATCCAAACATCTGCTCTCTTCCTACAGGCCATCAGCCATCAGTGCTGGACACTGTCGAAGCCTTCCATCCCGAAAAAAGAAAATGGGAGAGGCTGTCGCCCATGTCGACGCCACGTTGCTCTGCCTCCAGCATTGTGATCCGTGATCGACTACTGGTAGTAGGAGGTGTCAATCAAGTCCCAAGCTCCGCCCATGAGATTCTATATGTAAAAGAGGAGGAGATTCTTTAACCATAGAACTTTAGGTTTACACATCAGAAAAAGTTGCCTTCAATGATCAAGTAAAACACAAATTTTCACTTCGCTTGGTAAAATTTTGCATCAAAATCCAGTCTGCGCAATTGGGAGCTTCACATGAGGGCGAAAAAGTTCTCGATTCAGTTTTCACTCATGTTCAAGTTGTTCATGCAAATCCGTCATGCTGAGCAATAGAAATCTGCTAACTTCTGTGTAAGCTGTGATTCTTACATATCTACGCTATTGACCTATTTTGCGAGTTGGGATTTTCACAAAAAAATTCGAACACAGATTTTGCTTGTTCGAATTGGTCACACGAATTTGCCAAGCTAACCTATAGAAAACTGCTGGGCTCATGTAGCGAATTTTCATAACCAACTTGAATACTAGCGAAAACTGCGTGAGGAAGTTTATCGTAACCAAGCAGCTTCCTATCGGTCAGCTCGGTCGAATTGACATGACTAACTTCTCTGTGCTGGGAATTTTTTTGCCCTCATGCGAAATTCCCAATCATGTGGAACAGATTTCGCCCTCAAAATTTAGCTAATGTGACCGCACCTTAAAGCCTGAAATATACTCTACTCAAATAAGCAAATGTGAATCTTGCAATGCACTGCAAGTGCAATAGGCGAGGGTGTAGAGTTTCCTTCAAACATTTGTCTTAAATTGAATTCAGGTAGCTAGCTACAAACATGTGAACAGTTTAAATGTAAAATGTCATTTTTGCTAGCCCTAGCACATGATTCTCTTCAAACTGTTGCTCCGCCATGACAGTAGTTTAGCTGAAACAGAAAAATGACTGTAGAAGACGTTTACACTGATGCCTACTATAGCGCCCCTTGTGGCAATGCTGACATATTTCATATGCATGAAATCAAACTAGATTTGGTGTTTATGTACTTATGTAGAGTATGTTTTGGGCTTATTATCAGCACAACAAGGTTCTTGAATGCTAGACTGTTCAAACAAATAAGCTGCACTATGTGACAAGGAATAACTAAAGCACATTGTAGGGAACAACATGTATTTTAGTTCCACGAAGCTCACCGTTAATTCCATTATTACAAACTGCACAGCAACGACAATCTGCCTTTTAAAGCCAACAGCACCAAACACCCACTGAATGATCTAAGCCAACAACATATATGCACAAACACACATTCAGAGACACAATAAATCAGTATTTGAAATAGAAACAGATTTAGCAGTCTCCCTATAACAGTGTCTTGAGATATTTTTAGGGTATTTACAGGGTTGCTAATTAATCTACTGCTATTTTAGCATGATCATTTAGTAATACAGCAGAGGTCTTATTAATAAAGTGAAGTGTTAACTTTAGGATATTATTTGTGCATACCTCACTGCATTAGTTGTTTAGGAGGTGTTATGTGAACATATTATGGTGGTTTGTATGATGAATATTGTTGGTTATTTTTCAATCATTCTGGTCAGTTTCATCCTTGTCAAAGATAACTTGCACTGCTGTAGCACATACATGCAATCCTTTTTCTATATATTTACAGGGTCTTCAGCAATTTACGGTAGCATCAAGTACTTTGTCTTTAAAAGCCCCTTGAAATCAAAAATAGGTTTTGTAACCTAAAAAAAATAAATAAAAAAAGAAGAGCCTTTCCAAACGTCCTGCCCCAACAGGACCAAAAACTCCAGTCTACTTAGGATTTCATGGGGGTTTTAATACTATACTAATAAGATATTGAGTGTGTTTACATGCATAACAATCCTGGCAATGCAAGAAATGTTTATGTGAGTTTTGAAATGATTGGTTTGCATACAGTATGCACACACTAAATAAACCACCAGGATTGTGGCTTAAACAGTTTATGACCTTCAACTGATAAAAAAAAAAAAACATTTGTGTGTTTACATGACCTTACATGCTGCTGGGTTATTAAGCATAATCAGTGTAAGACTGTGCAAGTAAACACACTCATTGTCAGTACAAGGTTCAGAGATGCAGTATTTTGAATCGAAATAAAGTTGAAAAGCCTTTAGGGAAGTCATCATAGCTGTGGCCAATATCTTTAAATTATGTTTACTTTTTTTCTATTATGATGTTTTCACTTAGCCATTTGCTCTCATTTTGGTAGAATAATGTGTCTTGGATGCACATAGCAATAAAATGAAGCACTGTAATATATGGTTTTCTACAATGCTTGTACATTTGTGGTTTTGCCATTAAATGAACTTTGTCTCCTGCTCTGGTTTTCTTGCTTTCTTGTTTCAAATGCACTCTTATCTGGGGTGGGAAAAAGAGAAACGGTTGATTTTCTTTTTTCTTTTTATTTAATAATGTCAAATAGCGGCTCACTTACTGGAGTCTTGAGCAGGATGGTGGTTGACACTGAATGAGGAGCGACTCGAACCGTGTGGACTCCGGATAAACCGAGGTTTATTTGTCTCTATTGATTTCTTTCACCTCAGCAGAGGTGAAATGTGTCTCGCGCTCCTGTCGGCCACACTCAGACCTGCTGAAACACTGCAGAGATGCAGTTAAAAAGTGCTGCAGTGGTTCTTCACAGTTTATCTGCAAAATGAGGCTAGTGCATGTGTTACTGTGCTTGGAAGACTCTTGGCCAGCTTTCCAGGAAGCAGTAAAGCAGTCTTAATTTCAACAAATGCTGTCACAGAATTCACATTTATCAGTTATAAGAAATGAGATGATTGGTGAATCATTACAGTAAACATGCATGAAATTGTTTTAACTTGCCTGCTAAAAATGCTAGATGTAGCCTACCAGAAAACACAAATGTTAAATATCATGAACAAACAGCAATATTAGATACAGCTAGTTGTAAATCTGTAGCTATGTCCAGTGTCACTCATTCCCTTCGTTTCATTCTGTGCTCCAGTGTGAGTGCAAATTGGGTGGCTGGGATCATTTGATCGAACCAATTTGTGTGCAAATTAGTGATGGGTCGATGGAAAGATCGGATCATTTAAATGACATGAACTTTGAGTTTCTTTCGGCAAAAGGACTAATAGGCTTTGTTATTTCATTTTTTTAAACAGAGTTAAATAGCAATACCTGAATTCATTGAACCACGTTCACACAGCAATTTCTGATCATACTCCAAACCATTGGAAATCATTATAATACAGCGAGCCAAAGATAAATTATAAGAAAAAAAATTTAGTCTACCTCTCGATTCTCGAGTCGTTTATTTGTCACGTGACAAACGTAAAACGAACAAATCGTTCATAGAAATTATTGAAGGACCGAGAGTAAAACTCAATGCAAAATGAATCTAGTGCTGGTGTGTTATATGGAGCGCTGCATTTTTAAAGTTATTTTGACCTTTCTCAAAGTCTTAAGATGCCGTTTCAAACCAGCCTGACAAAGCTGGTTGGCAACAAGCTGGTTTCCCGACCTGGCTAGCTAAAAAGTGCCTAAAACCCCTCTAAAAGCCAACAGACCAGCTTTACCGTGCTGGAAAACCAGCTAAGACTGTTACAGGTTTTGTTGTGTGTGTGTGTGTGTGTGTGTGCAGGTTGTGAATATGAATACAGCGATGGAAAGAATCAATGAATTTGAACCAGTTCATTGGAACGAACCGACTCACTCAAGTGAATCGGACTGTTAAGTCTACTGGTTGGTAAGCCTGCACTTATACTGTTTACCACTTGGTGACACTGTTAATCAGTTTATGTATGCTTAAAGTCACTGAACAGTCTTGTTATACAAATACCTATTTAGTTTGGCTCTATATTAATATGTAGGCTTCTAATTAGTTAAAGTTATGACATGAACTCTAGAAGTTCTAGGAATAGCAGGAACATTCGGAGTTCTGAATTGCACTCGATTTTATAAGCGAACTTGCATTATTTTTTAACAGGCACATAATTTTTGTCTATAGTGAAACAAATCTCTAAACTCTCATTTGTGAATCACTTCCTATTCTGGACATGAAGGCACCCTGAGGGCACACAAGGTGAAATGTTCTGGGGCTGAAGTACCTTTTTAAGATGTGATACATGCGGTCAGGCTACTCTGTAACCAAACCTTCCTGTGTGAGGTGCCTCCTGGCTCCATAAACCTAGTCAGTATTCTGATCACGTGACCTCGGCGAGCTCAGGACCACCGGGTGGCCGTCAGGGACGACTTTTGCACCTCAGTGGAGAATTTTCCACATTAGTTGCGTTAAGCTGTCTGCAGCACACCTCTGAATGTGTTAAAGCAGAGCTTTAATGATGTTTAGGTGTAAGAACAATGGGGTAAAATTTAGCAAAGTCTGTCTAAAGTGGAAAATGCTTACACTCTGTGCTTAACTAGCACGCTTATGACTCAGAATGGGGAACAAATTATATGATTTTCTACTATTTCAGAGAACATGATTGCAACAAGCAGGGTTTGAAATAATATTCTGTTAGATTAACAAATCGAGCAGTGTGATATAACACAATTTTCATTCCTCATATTGACACAAATAGAAGGCATGCTGCTACACGCTGAAGCTAAGTAAAGTCACATAATGGGATTTGCGAGCTTGAATCAGATATGTAACTCTTGCTGAGTTTGGGGGTGGAAAGAGTAGCTGGAAGAAAAATAAAGCGAACATCTTTATCTACCAAGAAAGTGTTTGTCATAATAATGATGTAGGGCTAGATTTGTGAGTCTTAACCATCTGGGATAATCTTTAAATCTGGACAGATATGAGAGTTTGTCTCTGAAAATGGAATATAGTATTATCGTTTAGTGGTGCTTGCTATATTTAGGGTTATGCATTTGAAGTTTGTATCAAACTTGGGCACATAGTTCATACAGCACCTCATAAGTAACATGCTTAAAATAGCCATTAAAAAACGTAAGTTTATATATATTATATATTTATATAATTTATTTATTTAATTTAATGTTTTTTTTTAAATACTGGTTATCATATAATAATATTTATTTATTTTATATATTTAAAGTATGATACTTTACACAAACAGAGGTATTATATGAAATATATAATAAACATACTATATATATATGTTTAATTAATAATTTAATTGCATTTAACTTAATTGAAATATTTAATATTTTAATATCATTTTAAAATATTAGTCATATTTAATCATATTTATTTATTTTATATATTTAAAGTATGATATTTTACACATGTCTTTAAACTAATATACAAGCAGGACAAAGTTATGAACTGCATAGTCACACAATGATGTTATATATAATAATACTTATTTAAAATATTTTACACAGAGGTGTGATATTTGATATTGTGATATTTACATAATAAACATACATTATATATATACAGTATATTTTATACAAAGACAAAAAAAAAAGCCTTGGAACATTTTATTTTGATTGCGATTAAATGTGAGTTTAACGGTCAGTATTCTAGCCCTAGTCAGTTTAGTGAGTAAATGGTCAGTATTCTAGCCCTCTCATTGTGATTATTCCAATTGGTAAAATAGTTTTTTCATGTGGTCTTTCAAGGTAAACAAGGTCAGGAGGTACATTTCTGCACACCTGTAGTAAGGCACTGAGTTCCCCACGATCAGATAATGCCAGCAGAAATATGGGCAGTTTTGTTGTCAGGTAAGCAAAGCAAACTGTTCATGTTTCCAGTAACTCATGACACTAAAGCTGAAAGGAGGGCATGTCAGGAAAGCCAGCGGGTGTTTGTCATACGTCAGATGCTATTATTTATTCAGAATGATGACCATGTAACTCATAGAGCTGAAGTAATGGCAAATATAATGCATTAAAAAAGCATTAAATACTGTAAAGGCTTCTTCTGCTCAGGAAAGGAACAGGGTTATTATTGTTAACAAAAAATAAAACCATACAAATTTCATTCCTTGAAATAAACTAACTGAATATATATAATTATATTATATTATATTATATAATTATATATATATATATATATATATAAACCTTACATTTATTTGATTTCAGATAGTTGCAAAGCTTGTTTTCATTTAAATTAACATGATGTACTAAAATAACTCAAATGGAATTAAAAAGGAATAAAAACTATATAGACATTTAAAACATTTAAACTATATAGACATATTTAAAACTAAGAAATGACAAAACACACAAAATTACTAAAACATTAACTAAAATTAAACTAAATTAAAAGAAAATATAAAAATAAAACAATTCAAAATATTAATAAAAATTATAAAAGTTGTTATAAAA